GGCGCAGAGTTTGAGGCAAGCCTGGACTACGTAGCAAGCCTCTGCCTTCAGAGAGCAAAATAAAACAGAGCAAACAAACAAACAAACAAGGAAAGCCTGATAGAAAAGGAGCCAGTCCATGGATTTATACTTCATGAGCCAGGCACTTGACTCAAGGATTAGGTACCTAAGTCTCCACACCACGTAAGGCTCCGATGGGGTGATGGTACCGATGGATCTTGAGTATTTTACAAGAAGAAAAACCAAGAGCAACAAGCCATGCCAAGTTAAAGATTCCAGAATAAGATTCAGAAGTGCTTGCCACTGAGCCAAAATCCATGGGCAATGTAGGACTTTAAGTAAGAAATAGAAGCCAAATTCTGAAGAAGCAGAGCCAGAGCAAGGCATGTGAGGATAACAGCCACGAGCTATGAACCACCGGCACCGCTGGCACACACAGAGGCTAGCTCAAAGGCAGGGCCAAGGCTCAGCCAGGGTAGTCCAAGGAGTCTGATTAGGTTGTTCACAGCTGGCATCTGGCATGACTGGTTATTGCTCGTGCCACCCCTGTAGGTAGCTATTTTTAACATCACTCCTTTAAAGAAGATGGTGATTAAGATCACTGAGTCAAGACAGAGGAAAAGTTTTAATTCCTGTCTTCACGTACTTGTTGTAATCTATAAGAAAAATAGACAGACCTAAATCAGCCAGCTAAGATGTGGCCTGAGATACCCTGTGAAGCTGTGTGGGCCCAAGATGTGACTCTGGCAGAAGGATAGCATGCCTTCCTCTGCCTGGCGGCATTAGGGGCGGCTGTTCAGAGGAGATGGCACTGGAAAGAAAAACTCAAGGTCTGCTTCTTCAGTGGAGGAAGGAGCAAGGAAGAGAGTAGGACTACAGCAGCATTTGTAAGGGTGCCCCCATCCTGTCTTACAGGTCTAATACAGATGGAAGCAAAGCTCCCCACCCCCACTGTTAGAAATGGGAGGAGCAGAATATGAGCTTAATACCAAAGCGTTTTGTGGTGGTTTTATTTTGTTTTTTCCTTTATAAAATTGTGAGAGAAAGCACAAGTGTTAAAATACGCTTAGTAATTAGGTATACAGTCTAACAAATAAACTCCTGTATATTCGACTCCAAAAGCAAGTCAAACTACAGAAGCCTGTGTAGAAGAACACATTTCTCCACTATGACTAAGTTGAATATGAATTATACATAAAAAGTTTTTACATAGACTGTTAAATATTTAAAGAATGAGGTGCGTGATCTGCCTGATGTTACACTGCCTCTGGAGCCTGCGATAGTCTCTGAAGAGACGATAATGGTATGGAATCTCTTTTTGGGGGATGGAAGAAACCATGGACCAGAAACAAGAATCCCCAGGAACCTAAGAGGCCCCCTCAGGCTGGAGGCTGTGAATCTATATCTGCTCTTTGTTGAAGTTTCTCCTACGGCCCTCAACAATACCTCATGGGAATAACACTGGTCTAGAAAGAGATGGGGACAGAGTCATGGGGTTCCTCTGTAGAAAACCAAGTAGTACAACTGGTTTAGAAAGATCCCAGTCTCTGTTTCAGGGGGTATATACACAAGAGAGGTGACACAAGATGCCAATATGAAAGAAAATTTCCACACACATTCTCATGTGCTTAAAGTAAGAGATAAAACAGACCCATGTGAGTGGCAGTTTTTAGAAGGCAGAAGCCACAAAGCCCACAGGGTCACAGCAACTGTTGCTGCTACTGCCTGCAGCCTTGGGGGCTTTTCTTCTGGTGGTTAAGAAAAGCTAATATAAAATAGTAACTCTGCAAAAGAAGAGCAGAGGTCAGGCGGTGAATTCCACTGCAGCCTCAGGAAGAAGTGGGCAGCAAGCATGAACGGCCCAGGAGTTCCTGTGACCTAGCCAGCACCGAGTCCACCAACCAGAGCTGTGAGCTCCGTTGCAGACAGGAACCCAAGTCAGCTCAGCTTCCGCCAAGCTAGACCTGCCCATGCAAGGAAGAAACGAGGCCAGAGCCCTGGGGAGAGGGGGCCAGGGACAGCCACAGAGGGAGCTGAATTTTCACAGGCCGACAAAGGATGTTGGGATTTTCTCAGTTTGAACCTGAGCACAAAACTGGCAGCAGGGCTCAGCAACAGAGGGACTGAGGGACTGGAGCCCAGGGAGGTCTGAAGGGGCTGGGGCCAGGGCCAGTTTCAGACAAAGCAAACTCATAGAATCATAAAGTGTCCTGTCCAGCCAGTGGCCACTTGTCCTCTCTTCCTCTAAACTTTGTACTGATCAGATTAACTCCTTTCCTCAAGCAAAGCAACCCTTTCCTTCTACCACAATTGACCCAGCACAAGTCCCTAGTGTTGTAGTCTCTCCTCCATAATACAGGACTATAGTTCTTCAACAAAACTATTGTTTGCTGTTGATGCTTCCTATTCAAACCCTGTGTCTTCCCTGCTTCTGTTCAGGCTGTTCCCTTTGATTAGATTGTTCTTCCCTATCTTTGCCTCCTGAAAGATGTACTTCATGGCCAGGTCTACAGTTTCCCTACTTAGAAGAAATCTCCACTTCTCAGTTCCTTTTCCACTCTTAAATTATCTTGCCTGTCAATGACACAGATTTCTTTCTTCTTTTACTATTGTTAGTGTACACACTGATTTTCCTCCATCTGAAAGATTGCTTTTAGTGGGAGAGGAGAAGATGGGAATTGAATTATCCATCACCAGCCCTTTTTTCTTTCAAGATAAGGTTCCCCTACATTGCTAAATTGCCCAGGTTGGGATCAAACTTGCAATCGTCCTGCCTCGGCTTCAGAGTGCTGGGACGACAGGTGTGTACCTCCACCCCCAGCTGCAGGACGCTTACAGATCCAATCACCACCTGCTTCATCTCAGTTTCTCTATAAGAGCTTGCTTAGTTCTTGGAACATACTAAATGCTTAATGGATTTATTAAGTAATTTACTCAGGCATTCCTCTCATTTAACTCCCAAAAGTGATTGTAATGTAGAAATTCATGCAGAGCAGTGAAGAGGCCATAGAGGTGTGTTCTCTCGTTAGCTCCCTTCCTGTAGGCTCTACATTCCTGCAATTCCATTTTCCATTTGTAGATCCTCAGAATGGAAACCCAGTGGCCTTAAAGTAACGTGGAACTCCTATGTGGTGCCTGATTCAACAACTCTGGGAAATGTGTATATGTGCTCTCCACGAGTCTACCCTGGAAAATATCCAACAGACACACCTGCATAAAAGCCCCCTAGCAGCATTATTATAATAACGAACAATTTTTAAACAACTCAAATGTTCATCAATGCTAGAAGGAATAAAGTATGATGTAGTTGTGCAATAAAATGCCACACAGCCCTGACCAGTGACAAGCAGTAACATACATAAAACTCATAAGATATTGATCAAAAGAAATCAGACCTGCATATCACACGATTCCATTTAGGTCCACAGAAAACTAACTTATGATGCTAGTAGTCAAAGAAAGAGGGCTATAAAAGATGAAATGAAATTTTAAGAATTTATTTTGGGAAACAATTAGAAATAGGAATATTCATCACATTATTTGCAATAAAGACTTTCATCAGTATACACGTGAAACAACAGAAAAACAAATGAGACTATTTTGAGAAAAAGAATGGTTATCTTTGAGGTAAAGGAAAGAGGCAAGAAATAGGAAGGAAGATATGCTGTTTTCAATAGCTCACTGAGATGCACATTTGTAATCGTGTGCACTTTTCTGTACTTGTGTCACACTTTAATAAAAAGGGTTCATTTAAAAAGGCAACAGTCGGACTCTCTAGAGTGATTTCTATGCCGCCAAAATGCCCTACAGAATGGGGCTGCCCCCTCTCTCCCCCTTGCCCAGCAATTTCACCATGCACCCCGAGAAGAGTCATGCTGAGAAAGAAATGAGTAAAAATGACTTTGGCTTCCTAGAACCAACTGGGACCCCAGCCAGAGCCATCGCAATAGGAAGCCACTCCCAGAGAAGTGAAAGCTCTTACAACCTAGGCGCACAGCTGGCAACCCTGACTGCTAACTGCCCTGCCTGGCTCTTGTCCAACATATCTCACCGCAGGCCCAAAGCACCTGTCCTTTGGGGCTTCCTCAGGAAGGAGAAGTAAATCCTAAAGTTAGGACCCAAAGTTAGACCTTAGGGCCTAAGCCTCAGCCTGTGGCCTGTGACTTGGAGGTCATCCCAGTCTACCTCTAAGACGCCTGAAAATAATTCATGTATTCACTTAGCATGTTTTGGTCACCACCCACCTTAGGCATAGCGCCGCACACTAGACATATAATTTCATTTTCACTCGATTGATGTGCTGTGGGCTTCATGAACACAGGGACCATGTACTTGTCCACCACAGAATCCTCACCACCTAGCACAGTACCTGGCGCAGAGCCACTCAAGACATACTTAGGAAGGGAATAGGGATAGAAAGGGGGATGTTACAGAGGAAGTAAATATTCACTGAATGTCTGCTTGTGCCAGAACTGGTTCCAGATGCTGAGGATACAATGATGTACAAAACAGACAAAAGCTTTTATCTCAAGGATTTTATGTTCCTTGAGACTAAAGAAGAGATTGAAAGAGACAGAAAATAAATAAGTAAAATGGTAATGAGTACTGTGGAGAAAAAATTAAGCAGTGCAAGAAGTGTTTCTGGGTGGCAACCCAGCATTTTCAGTAGGGGGAGGGCACCACGGAGAAGGCGGTAGTTGGGCAAAAAGAGATGGTGACAGAGCAGGGACGCAAAAGACAGTGAGAGAACACTGCAAATACAAAGCCCCAAGGCACACATCACTCATAGGTTCAAAGAGCTTCTCGTTTCACTCAGAAGAAGAACCGTCCAATTGTACGATCGTCTACAGGACCCAAGCTGCTTCCCCCTCTCCCCTCTGGCTCACTATGTTCCCAGGGACCATGTAACCAGCACCGATGCTGTGGATTCCTGGATCCCTCACAAGGGCACATGCCTAAGTCCATGCCAGCTCCCACCCCAGCCAGGCTGGGCTCCTTACCTCGGCCTTGATGTCCCTTGAAGAGCAGAAGGAGTGTGAGGGTGACAGTTTGCCACGACATTGCCATACGACAGAGGGCTCAGATACACCTCTCTCCATTAGACTCTCAGCTGTGCTTGGGCTCGGCAGTTACAAATCTGGCAGGACAGAGTCAGGGAGCAGAATTGCCTCACTGCCTGTCCGGCCACAGTTTCCTCAATTCATGGCTGTTCACTTCTGCTGTGAGCTGACAAGGCCACTGTGAAAACCACAGTCCCTGAACTTGGACAGATAGCTCCCACACACTAAGCTAGTGAAGTGAAGTCTGCTTAGTCTCGAGTGCTTAGAGCTCACAGCAACTCACAAAGCCCACTTTAAAATTCTTTCCCTTGCTCAACCCCAGCCCAGCTGCTACAATCAAAGGGCAGGAGGAGCACAGTACAAGTTCCAGTGCTCTCTATCCTGCTGGCACTGTGAAAAGACCTGCCTGGATAGCCCACTGACATTAGCCCAGACTGTCCCCATCCCACACACCTTGTGAAGTGGAGGGAAGAGGGCTTGGGGCACCTGTGAGCCGAGAAGCAGAATTCTGGATAAATAGCTGCTGATGTTCAAGGAGAAAGAGAGTCAGTGGGAAGACATTGAACAAAATCTATGGTTCAGGGGCTCTGGAAAAAAAATCTATAAGGCCAAGGAGTATGCAAGTTCATACCAAAGTTCAAGTACTTGCAAATTCCATTCTTTTTTTCTATCAGTCTGCTTTAGCTCCATGTTCCCATCAGTACCTTTATACTCCCTCCATGTGACTGTACTTGCCAGTAACAGTTCTTTCTTCCTGCTCTTGTCTTCTCCCAGAAAGAAAGTGAGCTCACTTTTTCTGCCAGCCCCCATTCCCACGTGGATCCCACCAGATTCTCAGGTAGCCTAGGACCTCCTCGGGCTTCTGTGGACATGCAGTCAGTCCACTGTGCCTCTCCCAGAACCCGGTGCATCAAGGCCATCCCCTAGCATCTGTACTTCTTTTTTGTGTTTTCTCTTGGGCAGTGCTTTACATGCCTTCTAAATCCACCCTTACCTTTTCACACCCTTTGATCCAGTGCCAGCTGCACAGTCTGAAGCCGGGCATGAGTGAGACAGACAGAGGAAACTTGGCTGCCAACGCCAGCTCCAGGGGTGTTCCGAACAGGTCATTAAATTTCAAGTTAAAGAATTGGATTTGAGCTTTACTTCAGCAACTTATGACCTGTGCAAGGCTGGGCAGGTTACTTTATGGATCTCCAGAACCAACAATATTGGTTGCCCTTATTCATGAGATAAGTTTTCAGTATCAAAATAGTGACTATCTCTGAGACTATACATATAAAATTATCACAATGATCTGAAAGTCTGTATACCCCTAACATTTTACCTTGAAATCTAAGCACCAATGTGATAGCATTAGAGTATTAGGAAGTTGGGCCTTTAAGAGGGTAATTAGGTCATGAGAATAGCACTTTATCTAAAAAAGGGGGGAGGGAGACTCAGGGAACTTGCTTACTCATTCCTTCTGTCACAGGAAGGTAGAACAGAAAGTCAGCATTCTGTGTCTAAGAGAGACTGCAGCAGGACTCAACCATGCTGCCATCTTGATTATGGACTTCCTGGACTTCAGATCTATGAGAAATAAATTCCTATGATTACCTGTGTTATTTTGGTTTAGCAGCCCAAAACAGACCAAGGTGAAATGGTTTTGTTTGTTTCACACAGACCTGTATACCTTCTCTTTTCTAGTTTATCTCTTCCTATGGGGCAGCTTCTAGCCTTTGGGATTTTCCCACAGTTGACTGAATAATTCCCTTGACTTTGAGAAGTGGTTCTCAAGAGGCACTACAACACAGGCAAACTTCCCTATACGACACAAGGAAGACTTCCAAAGGTCCAAGCCTTGAAAAGTAAGTAATGAACAACGTGAATTAGGGATCTTTTTCACCAGTCCTGACTCCACCACCAACTCCTGCCTCTCCCCAAGCATGTAGATGAGATACCTGTCCCTGGGAACTGAACTCAACTACACCACTTCCTATCTATCTGTCCGACCTGTGGTTCTCAACATGCTTTACCACATAACTGCTATCTTTTTCCAAACCCTGCCTCATCCAACCTTCATATCTTCAATATAAAAAATGTATGCTTCCCTTAGCTTAGTGTTTCTAGTGTCTGGCCTGGTGCCTTACTCTTCATAGCTGCCTATACATTGTTTTTACTAATACACATTAATTATACATAATAATATGCTTGAGGCATTTTGACACACACATGTAGCACATGACCACACTTTTCTCCATTACTCTTCCTTACCACACCTTCTCCCTTCTTGTTCCTCTCAACTACTTGCTCTTTTCTAATAGTCTTCTTTCTACTTTTATTTTTTATTTAAACCACCTCATTTACTTATTTATTTGTAGTACATATTTGCAGTATATGATTACATTTATTGTGAAGAATTTATACATTTTCATATCTAGTTCTGTTTTTGTCCCCATCCCCCCCCAACTCTTCTTCCCCTCTCCATTCGCAAAAGTTCTATTTCTTTTTTTTCTTCAACTGTTTTGTTAATCCCTTCCTTTTCCCTCCCTTCCCCCTCTACCATCTCTTCTTCATCTTCCTATTTGAAAATAGCTTGTTACTACCTAATATCTAGCTTTTATTTTACTTATTTATACTTTCAGATTCTCATATAAGAACAAAGTGACATTTAAACTTGTGTGTCTGATTTATTTCACTTAATGTTATGACCTTAATATGCACATATTTACCTAAAAGTAATTCATATGTATCCTTCCTTATGTCAGAGTAGTACACCATTGTATAAAAATACCACATTTTCTTTGCTCATCTGATCATGGATATATAGGCTGTTTCTAAGATTTAACTGCTATAAATTACCCTGCTATAAATAGACATGCACATATCACTATTGTATGATGACTTTAAATCTTGTAGGACAATACCTAGAAAAGAAATGGCTCGGTCTAGTGGAATTTCTACTTTTAGTTTTTTGAAGAATCTCCATGCTGATTTCCATAGTGGTTGTATCAGTTTATAGTACCACTAACAATGGAGAAGAGTTTCTTTCTCTCCACAGCCTCGCTAGCACTTGGTATTGGTTAATTTCTTGATGATACCCATCAAAGTATCATCTTTCATACCCACCTTTCATATCCGTCTTTCTGGAAAGAGATGAAATCTCAGTGTTATTTCAATTTGGACTTTTCAAATGGCCAGCAATGTTAAACATTTTCTCATGCATTTATTAGCCATATGTACTTTTTCATCTGAGAAGTATCTATTCATTTAAGATACTGATCTGGTGATTGGGTTTTTAAATAAGGAGAGGTCTAATTTTTTTAGTTCATTATATATTCTAGATACTAGTCCTCTGTCTGAGGAGTAGCAGGCACAAATTTTTCCCATTCCATAGATTGTCTCTTTACACTATTGGTAGTTTCCTTTGCTGTACAGAAGCTTTTTAATTTGTTGTGATCCCTTTTCTTGATTTTTGATATTATTTCTCATGGGGCTAGGGTTTTGCTCACAAGGCTTTGCCTACACCTATATCTTCAAGAGTTTTGCATACTTTATCTTCCAGCAGATTAAATATTTTTGTTTAACATTCAGGTCTTCTAGCTACCTTGATTTCAGTTTAGTGTCTGATGAGAGATACAGGTATAAGTTTAATCTATGGCACATGGATAGCAGTTTTTCCTTTGTCATTTGTTAAAGAGGCTATCTCTCCCCCAGTGAAACTATTTGGCCCTTTTTCAAAGATAGGTACCTTAGTGTCCCTGGAGTTGTTTCTATATCCTCTCTTTGTTCCACTGATCCACAAATCTATGTGAAGTTTATCTGGTGTTTTGCTTTATTTTGCCAATACTTCACTGTTTTTATCACCAAAGCTTTATAGTATATCTCAAGGTCTGGAATTATGATGCCCTCTGACTTGCCCTTGTTGTCCAGAATTGCTTTTGTTCTTCTTGGTCTCTTCTGGTCCCATATGAATTTTAGGATCGTTTTATTTAGTTTTGTGAAGAATGCTAACAGTATTCGGATTAGAACTGCATTAAATCTGTGTAACCATTTTGGAAGCATGGCCACATTTACTATTTTGGGTCTTTCTATTAATAACAGGGGACACTTTTCCATGTTTTGACACTCTCTTCAATCTCATTTTTCAGAGCACTAGAGTTTTTATTGTAGAGGTCTTTTACTTCCTTGAATAGGTTAATTCCTCAGGATCTCTGTTTTCTTGGTTGTTTCCTAATTTCTCTTGGTGGCTTTACTATCAAAATCAATACTGTCGATTTTTTTTTTTGAGTGTTGACTTTGTATCCTGTTAACTACTTTGTATCCTGTTAAGTTCTTGGTGTCTTAAATGTAAAGGACAGGGCCAAGGAGATAGCTTATAGAATAAGCACATGCCTAGAAAGCGGACGGTCCTGAGTACAACCTCTGGTACCTTAAAAAAAAAAAAAAAAAAAAAAAGTAAAGGATCATATTATCAAATGATGATAATTTAAATTCTTTTTTATCTACATCTCAACTATTTCTTTCTCTTGTCTAATTGCTCTGGCTAATGCTTCCAGAATTATATTGAACAGGAGTGTTCAGGGTCTCACTACTAGATCAGACTTGTAGTGATCCACCTGTTTATAGCCTCCCAAGAGCTGGGAATACAGATGCACGTCACCATGCCCAGTTTCAATTGTCTCTCAGCTAGCCCCGGGTGTGGGGCTGGCACAGCAGGCCCTGGGATTGAACCCTCAGCCCCTGCACTTGCTTGCAGGTGCTTTAATCTGCTGAGCTATTTGGCCGGCCCTTTTATCATTAATTGATCATAAATTTGTTAAATGTGTTTTCTGCTTCTGTTAAAATGATCACTTTTTTTGTTCTTGCATCAGCTTAAGTGGTATATTGTATTGTATTTATTGATATGAATATGTTGATCCATTCCTGCATCCTTGGAATGAATTCTACTTGGTCATGGTGTATAACAAGTTTGATAAATTGTTTCATGCAGAAATATAGATATGAGACAAAAGCCTGATGTCCCAAGAGAGCAGGGAGCAATGCACAGAGCCCAGGGAGAGCTGCTGTCTCTCACTTGTAAATCCTGGAAAGCTGGGATTCAAGGCTACAGCTAACAGGTTCTCCTG